ATTAAATGTTCAAATCATTTCTTTCACGGATCATTTCTTTCCCCCATGATATCCTGAAATATTTTTATATAGTTAATTTAAAAATAATTTTAGTTATAATTCTTGTGTAAAACAGAAAGTTAGGTTTGACTCTTGTCGTTCCCTAAACTTTGAGTTCCTTAGTGTCCTTCTTCAAGGATTTTAGGGTGAATAAAAATAATCACCTCTTACAACTCGCATTTTTTCTGGCGGTGCAATGATAGAATCCATTGCTGATGCATGACGTTTAGCTATAACTTCATGGTTTAGAACCGAACGTCCTGGTCGTGATGGCCGAAATGGAAATACAATGGAATCGACTAAATTTTTAAAATTAATTTTGTATTTTTTAAAATCAATTATTAAATAACGAAAATTATTTTAAAAAATACCTTCAGTAAAGAAGGAAAGATTGACAACTAAGAGGAAGAATATAGCGATTAAACATGCTCCACAATTCATTTTTATTTTAAATTATTCTAAATTCTGAAAATTTTTAAAAACATTTTTTAATTTTTGATAAACATTAAAGAAAATCGCCTAAAAAATTTCGATAAAAATATATCTAGACGGGCGTTCACGTCTCTTACAAAAAGCTAAAATTTGGGATTGGGTTAAAATTTCCAATTTTCTTGATTTGTCTGTTCCTTGAGTTAGCCCTACATGAAAATTTGGATTCTACCTTGGAAAGGAACATGAATCTGAATTATAATTTTCGAGCCAATTAACCTGAAGTCCCATTAAGGTAAGCAAAAATACCGTGCTTAAGCTTTCAATGTTAATACTAAAAAAATGCATAAGCATTTCCCCGATCTCACCCAAATAATTATCCCCCCTTTGATTAATTACCCACTCTAATGTGGGGGGCTAGAACATACACTGCGTAACAAAAAGATGGCGCATCATGCTTTTTTGACATAACTCAATGGAAAAGGGTCCATTTCGACTGAAAATTTTTTTATAAATAGTTTTCATGACTAGGATAAAGATAAGCTAAACCGCGCGGAAAAATTTTTTTCCTGAATTTTTTTATAAAATAATAACCGTTTTAGCAGTGTAACAAAAAGATGGCACATTTTAAATTTTCGAGATTAGGAGTGGTCTGAAAAATCTATAAAAATTCCTGTAAGCATCTCTATTGATATAGATAGAAAATACAAAAGAAACGAAGTTCTAATATACTTCCATCATCGAGATCTAAAAACCCGAAAATCAACGGAAAACAGGGGGTGAGCGTCTTTAAAAAATATTTTCTACCCCTTATAGGCTAAATTAAATTTCCATTTTATGCTTTTCTGAAAGCCCTTTAAATTTGCTATAAGAAACCTTATTTCTAATAAATCGAAAAATTTTACTTGGGAGATATTGAGTGTTAAATTCAATGGACATGAAAATCATTAAATTTACCCCTTTCTGAGCACCTTAAAAATTTAATGAAGTACAACTTAATGGAAAAAAATTTCTGTAAATTTTGCCGCGCGGTTTAGCTTATCTTTATCCTAGTCGTGAAAACTATTTACAAAAAAATTTTCAGCCGAAACGGACCCTTTTCCATTGAGTTATATCGAAAAAACATGATGTGCCATCTTTTAGTTACGCAGTGTATGTATAATTTAATTATTTTAGATTGAAATAAGCAGTTAAATGAATAATATAATTAAATTTGCACTTAATTTATATTAACAGATTTAATACAAAAAATATTTAAAATTTTGTTCCTTAAAATATACTTTATGCAATTAAAAATAAAATTGCATTATTATTCGCTGAATTTGTTAAAATATAAAAAATTTAAGTTCCATTTAAATATTCATTTTTAATTAATCAAAATATTATTTATTTCCTTTTTCGTTTAAAAATAAAATTTTGAAGAGACAGATGTTTTTTAAAAAACCTGATTGGAGTGAAATTTAAAAATTTAAAATCTAACAATTTGACAAACAAATTATATAAAAAATTTTAATAAGGAGGAAGGATACATCATTATCACTAAAACACATCCTCGTGATTGAATAACGAAGAAGTAAATTTACAGACGTGTCGGAAATCGGAAGAGCTTGAAATCAGAACTGGCTCAAGAGTCGGAACTCGGAAATCGGAGATCAAAATTTTTTCGGAAATCGGAACAAAAAAACTCCGAAAATTAGAAATCGGAAATAAAATTTTGATTTTCGCATCTGAATTAATATTTAAAATTGTAAAGCGGTAAAGCGGCCTCTTGAGTGTAATTTGAGTGAGTGGCAACTCAAAAGTCAACTTTGAAGGGATTAAAAGAGATTGTGGTATTTGGGTGAGCAGACGGGATATCAGAAAATTTATAGAGGGGATCTGGAAGTCAGATCAGAAATGGATGTTTTTAAACATGGTATTTGAACGGATTAAAAAATTTTGACATTTGTTCAATAGGGAGTTGACTTTTTAGGAGTTGAACTTCTAGGGTGGACCCCTAAAAAGAAGGGGCGTTAAAAAGAAGAAAGAAATGAGAAGAAGATATAATACGAGGGTCGATTTATATGAGAGTCGATTTTCCCTCCCTCGAATAATTCCCCTCTCTCAAATAATTCCCCCTGCTACGGATCAGTTGAAACAATAATCCTCCTCCCCCAAATACCCTGATACACGTTCAAATTTTATAACTCGAATAATTACCCTCCCCCGAATAATTCCCCATGCCATATGGGTTGAAAAATAATTCTTCAGGGGTATTAATCAAATAAATACGGTGAACACGAATTGAAGCCCTGCATATTGAGACTTAAGGAAAACAATAAGTTCTATTTTTTCCTTGTGTTTTACTCAATAAAATTTTTAAATGAATAGAGAAAAGCAAAATCCGCTTTTAGATTTAAAAATAGCAAATTTAAAATAGTAAAAAAATTGGGAAATCTCAATTTTATCGAATTTTTATTGAAATAAACTCCAAAAAAGGAGCAAAGAATATAATTTAGCAAAAAGATAAGTTAGCTTTTGGCCTGTCATTCAAGAACAAAAATAGATGAAAAAGACTAAAGTTAGGTTTCAAAATATCCATCTGTTTAAATATTTTAAATAAGCTTTGAGTTGAGAGATAGCTTTATGTTTATTCGGTATTTCTTAAAGGAAAAGTGCAAATTAAACAAAATAAATACAGCTACCGTATTTACTCTGGTAATTCCCCAGGGGGATTATTGTTTTAACCCATCTCTAGGGTGGGGAATTAATAGAGACTGGGGAATTATTAGAGTGGGGTAGAAAGAGGGAAATTATTGTTTCAACCCATCCCCAGGGTGGGGAATTAATAGAGACTGGGGAATTAATAAAGACTGGGGGATTACTAGAGTAAATACAGCTATGTGATGTTGAGTAATACATAATTACATACATTATTTTAATTAAGTTATTTTGTTATAAGCCTGCAAATTATTTCTATTTTTTCATCCCTTTTTTTTCTATAAAGTCACCAATAGTAAAGCAGCGAGCTATAGCTATTTATCTCCTTTAGTTAGTACGAAACGTTGATCCGCGGCTGGGAGCGAACAAGCATCTTCAGTAGACCAGACTGATGTGTTAGCCAATATACACCACTCCGCTTACTGCACTGCCTTAGGAATTAAATAGCTATATGCTTTACACAATTAATATTGGGCAACAGCTGTATTATGATTAGAGCGTGTCTTTAATCATTCTATATCCAAATTAATGATACAACTCCCTTCCCTATTCAAATCCTATCCAACATTTAACCCAACTAATCCCTATTTCATTCAATCCCATGCTATCCCGACAACTCCTCATATATCACGATATCCCTTCAAATCGGTCAGTATTTAGGGTTAGGCATTGTTAAATCACTCAAATTTTAATGATTTCTATTTAAAAATAAAAAATTTCAGAAAAAAAGTTCTAATTTAGTAAATATGAAATCATAAATGTTTTAATTTAAATCAAAATTCGAGCCTATTTTGTCAAAATGTAGACCTTTTTTGGCCTTTTTCAACCTATTTTGGACCTATTTTGAAGTTTTTTGGACCTCAATAGGATCCTATTTCACAATTTTTTGGACCTAAAAAACACGCTCTAATTATGATATATTTTACGTTCACAAAACTCTAGGATTAATTGAAGTTAGCAATATTAACATAAGGAATCCAACACGCTTTTATTAGATTTTATGTCCATTAGGACTCATATAATAATATTAACTTTAAATAATTTAAGAATCTAAAAAATGCTTTCTTCTCTGATTAAAATTTGTTTATTTTTCCTTTTAATTTTTGTATTATTCCAATTAAACGTTGCTTGTGTTGGATTATATGAATTATGTTCTGGAAGAGGACAAGGAACTTGTTGTAAGGGTTTAAAATGCCGTGATGTCCTTAGTGATGGCTCCATATGTGAGTAAAATTGAAATGAGAAAGTATGGCTAGTATGAACAGAAGACGTTATGTTAAATTATAGTATTTTCACAAAATTTCCTTTCTTAAGTTGCAGATTTTTATTGAAGATTATTGAAGATTTTTATCGCCGCTAATTTGTTACAATTTTTAAAAAATTCGATTATACAAATTTTAAAAAACCTCGGTTATCCTCGGTACTCGACCTCGTTCTCGGGTCCAAATTTGGCCCTCTATCTCGGCTTTTCCACTCGGTGATCCAGGGCCTCGGTTTTTTCAAAAATGTCCATGGCACAGTTTGGCTTAAGCAACGTTTAATGTGCATTGCACGACCTAACTATGCAAGCTCAATCAAGGTTGATCTCAATCAAGGTATTTCAAGGTATATCAATCAAGGTATATAGGTCATTGAAATTTTATTAGCTCGATGGAATAAGGTTGGCGATTATTATACTCCGATATAAGCTATATTTGATTCAGATATATTCTGATACAACAAGATATACAACAAGACAATGAGAACCCTCAAGTATGTTGAACTCGCAAACTAAACAAAAGATTTATATATTTCTTTAAAGTCACACGACTTGATTATTTGAACTACGAACTCATATTTACATAATATTTATCAATAATTACATTTTTAAATTTAAAATTTCAGCCTATATATTATCAAATAAAATTGCAAAGCTGATTTACAATTTAATTTTCTATCATTTCTTTACCGATTACTACCCTGAAATATTTTAAAAATTTATTTAAATATTTTAATTTAAATATTCACCCCTTCTAGTATCCTCATTATCCATCGGTGCAAGGATTGAGTCCATTCCGGTAGCATGCCGACTAGCTCTGAAGCCTTGTTCTGGAATAATAATTTTCAAGAACTCGTTAAGGCATGAAAATTTTTTAGAATGAAGTCTATTGGAAATATTACTCTAGGTACTTTTTTGTTCAAAATCTCGCATTAAGGGATAATCATTTGAGAGGAGGTAATTAGTCAAGCATCTTTTATGATGTATTATAACTATATTTAACGGATAATTATTTTTACAACCCCTAATCTGAGGGGGGGAGGGGATAATTATTCTCTATCTTATAATTATTAAGCATTTTTTCTGGCGTTGCAAGGATCGAATATCTTCTAGCATACCGTCTAGCTCTGAAGCCTAGGTTTTGAACCGAACGAATTGGTCTGAACGAATTATGTGTGATATACATTATAAGTAATTATTAAGCAGAGGTCTATTATTCGATTAGATACGATAGGGGAGGGGGGGGGAGCGGATAATTATATTTGATATATAAGTAATTATTAAGCAGAGGTCTATTATTCGAGCATATAAGATAAGGCGTATTTATCCAACAATTTAAGGTCCAAATAATTTATAGTTATTAAATATATTCACCTCTTACAACACGCATTCTTTCTGGCGTTGCAAGGATCGAATTCCGTCTAGCATACCGTCTAGCTCTGAAGCCTTGGTCTGGAACTGAACGAATCGGTTTTTTCCACCAAGGGCGTTCAGTTAAAGAATCGACTAAAATTTTTGAAAGTAAAATTTTATAATTTTTTTTATGTTACCTTCAGTAAAGAGAGACAGATTGACAACTAAGAGGAACAATAAAGTGAATAAACTTGCTCCAACTTTCATTTTTAATTTTAAATTCTAAATTTCTAAAAATTTTTATAAAATTTAATTAATAAATAAAAATAAGGCTATGGTCAAGATTATGAGTCCAATGGACAAATGTCTTCATTTCATTTAGGGCCGGTTAGATATGATTTAAATTCTTAAGGTGATGGTAGAGAATGATGGTTCCAATTAAGATTGATTCCTATAAGAGTTCCAATTATTATACTCTTCTCATGAAAAGTCTTTCCTTCTCTTAAATATCTTCTGACATATTCATTGAACTCATAGCCTAGACCAGTAGCCAAAAATATTTAATTAAAGCTGTCGACTTTATTATTAAATCACGTACATAAATTTCCATAATATTTATCAATAATTAAATTTTTAGATTTTAATATTTTACTATACCAGAATAGGACATAGATACAGATATTATAAAAAAGCCTGCGGATATCCGTCTGTATCCGCCGTAAATATGCGGATACGGATACCAAAATCAGTATCCGTGTAATCGTCTGTTAAATATTATAAATATCTTTCCCTTACAGTATAATGACGAATTAAATTGTAAATTATCTGTATTATTTAATTCACTGTCAGTCAAACCTCCCTAATATATTAATAATAATTTGTAACCAATATCAGCATTACTCCAGCAATTTATCAATTTAAACAGAACGTCATGCGATCAGAACGCGCTTTCCGTTTATAACTATAGTTCCGTCTGAAAATATATTTTATTTTTTTAAATTAATAAAATAGTCACCTCTTGCAACACGCGCAGTTCCGTCATAAAGGGGAACTGAACGCGAATGACGTCGGAATCTAACATTTTGGGTTATGACTGAACGTCCTGGTCGTCCTGATTTACTAGCATACTTTAAAACATTCGATAAAGCGTCAGCTTCCGATAAAGTGGATTTATTGGCATCGACTAAATTGTTGAAATTAATTTTGTAGTTTTAATTTAATTATTAAATAACAAGAGTATAAAAAATACCTTCAGTATAGAAGGAAAGATTGACAACTAAAAGTAATATTAAAGCGGTTAAATGTATTCCACGTTTCATTTTTAATTTATAAATTCTAAAAAAATTTTTAAAATTTAATATATGTATAATTAATTAATTAAATAAAATATGGCTCTGGTCTAGATTATGAGTCCAATCATATTTTTAAGCTTAACAGAAGTAGTGTAAGGATGATTCACCTAAAGCAAATAAAATCGCTTAGGTGGATGTTGAACGATCTAAAAGATGAATGAGAAAGGATTAGGGATGCCTCGGTAGCTCAGTGGTAGAGCTAATGTAGTATGTACATCTATGGTGAACAGAGTACCTAGAATAACTCTCAAGAGGTCGTAGGTTCAAATCCTGCTACCTCGGTCGCACAATCCCCTCCTTGCTAAACTTTTTCTTTAGGTTGAACTCATATACTTGGCCATACCTCAAAATATTAAAGACCCCCCCAACCCCCTCCTTGATAAACTTTTTAGCGATGCCCCGGTAGCTCGGTAGTAGACTGAATTAGTGTAAGGATGATGAACATCCTGGCTGAATCGACGTATTCCACCGTGAGTGTGAATAGTGTATGTGAACAGCTAATGTATAGCAATAACTGTCAAGAGGTCGTAGGTCCTGCCACCTCGGTCGCACAATCCCCCCCTCCCCTTCCCCTTGATAAACTCTTTTGTAGGTTGAACTCATAAGCTAGAGCAGATATTAAAATATTTGAATAAGGTCTGAAGACTTTAATAATTAAATCACATACGTATACTTACATTATATTTATCAAATTTTTAAAAATTATTCTTTAATTTTAATATTTTAACATTTTTAAATTAAACTTGCTGTCTTTTGACAATTAAATTTCAAATCTTTTCTTTCGCGAATAATCCTAAAATATTTTTTTTCAAAAAATAGCTTATATTTAAAAATTAATTTCTTCGCCAAAATTTTGTCTCTCATTAACATTTATTATTATGTATACTAAAAATTACCATACTAATTAATAGTGTTAGGCACGGTTCGGTACTACCGCGATACTACCGTCAGTACCGGACCGGTACTTTTCGGTACTACCGGTACCGGTACCGTACCGGTAAGATTTTTGGATTTTAGTACTGACCGGTACCGGTACTTTTCGGTACCGGTACCGGAAAAATCCATTTGTCTAACTATACTAATTACTATACTATTACTACACTATTACTATACTAAAAATAGAATCATCACCTCTTACAAATCGACTATTAAATCCAACTGAACGTCCTGGTCGAACTTTAGCAATCGTTTTCATAAAATCGTTAAAATCTGAAATTATTTTATATTAATAAAAATAGTTACTATACTGATTAAAATATTTTACTACTCAAATCTAGTACGGATTAAAGTAGAACTTCACTTGTATGTTAAGGACAATTTTAAAAATGCGAAACATAGAGGACAGTCTTTAGATCGAAAGGTGTCGTAAAATTTGGGCATGATTGTATTTTACTTAGAACAATGATAAAAATCATTACCTCTTACAAATCGACTATTGAATCCAACTGAACGTCCTGGTCGACCTTTTCCCTCATTAAGTTTAGCAGCTGTTTTGAAAAAAGCGTCAAAATCTGAAAATTATTTTTTTGAATTAATAAAAATAGTTACCTGCTCTTGCAAGTCGCACTTTTTCTGGCGGTGCAATGATTGAATCCATTGCTGTGGCATGACGTTTAGCTCTAACTTCATGGAATGCAACTGAACGTCTTGGTTGTCCGATTCCTGGTCGCAATACAATGGAATCGACTGAATTTTTTAAATTAATTTTGTATTTTTTCAGTATATGCTTAATTATTAAGCAAATAAAATTAGTAAATACCTTCAGATAGGTTGACAACTAAAAGGAAGAATAAAGCAAATAAACTTGCTCCACCATTCATTTTTAAATTTTAAATTCTAAATTTCTAAAAAAAAATTTTTTATAAAATTTATTAATTAATAAAAAATATAGCTCTGGTCCAGCTTATGAGTCGAAAGGACGGATGTCTGTAATTCATTTAGGGACATTAGATTAACCTAAATTCTCAAGGTCATGGTCGAGAGTTATGGTTCCAATTAAGATTGATTCCAATAATAAATCCAATTACGATACTCTCTCATGAAAAGTGTCTTTCGTTCTCTTAAATATCTTCTGACATATTCATTGAACTCATAGTTTAGACCAGTAGCCAAAATATTTAATTAAAGTTTTTCAACTTGATAATAAATCATGTAAATTAACATAATATTTATCAATAATTAAATTTTTAGATTTCAATTTATCTTGCCTATATATTATAATGATGAATTAAATTGTAAATTATTTGTATTATTTGATTAAATGACAGTCAAACCTCTCTAATATATTTAATCACTTAAACCAATATTAGCATTACTCCAGCTATTTATCAACGGAACGTCATGGCATCAGAACGCGCTTTCCGTCTAAAAATTTTTTTAAATTAATGAAAATAGTCATTAATTAATAGGAACTGATAGGAATTGTTCCGTCATTAACAGGTGAACGCCAATGTCGGTAAGGTCGATATGGTCGATACGGCCAAGTCCAAGGAGGTCCAATAAGAGAATTGACTAAATTTTTGAAATTAAATATTTTTATCTAATGAATTTAAATATGAAATACAAGCATGATCACGGTTAAGAGTTTTACTATCCATATCCTTATAAAAAATTTTTTAGCTTTCTTTCAGTCGGAACATGGTCTTCATATATTTATCCACCCTAGGGTTGTCGGTTCTGGAACGAAACGAAAAACGAGGACGATTCAAAGAACCTTGGATTTTTCGGTTCGGTTTCGGATATCCGAAAAAATTTCCAGAAACGTACAATCCTAATCCACCCTATCCATGTATGTACATATTAGGCACTTTTCCAAAGTGATAATGCCTAATTGAAAATAAAAAAATCCTACTAAAAACCTTCAGAAACTAAGGATAAATTGACAGCTAAGAGGAAGAATAGGACGAATAAACTTGTTCCACCTTTCATTTTTAATTATAAATTCTAAATTTCTAAAAAATTTTTATAAAAAATAATAAAAAATGATTCTCTTGTCTAGTTTATGAGGTTTTTAATGTCCTATTGCATTAGCTAATATATGATTAAGATCCAGCCCGAATGGAACCTTATCCTTAAATAGCCCTACTCTAAAATAACGTTTATTAATCGTTAGTTAATAAATGTTAGTTAATAATTATTAATCGTTAGCTGTTAAAGTTTCTTCAAATTAATTTAATAATTGAATGAATAATAATTAAATCTGGAATTTATACTATCTGATAAAATAAAAAAATATTCGAAATTTTGTTCCTCAATATATACTTTCTTGCAATTAAAAATAAAATTGCATAATTATTCGCTGAATTTGTTAAAATATAAAAAATTTAGGTTCCATTTAAATATTCATTTTTAATTAATCAAAATAATTTATTTCCTTTTTAATTTAAAAATAAATTTGAAGAGAAAGATGTTTTTTAAAAAAAAACTTGATTGGAGTAAAATTTAAAAATTAAAAAATTAACGATTTGACAAGCAAATTATTTTAGAGAAGTTTTAATGAGGAAGAAGGATAAATTATTATCACAAAAACATATTTTTCATGATCGAATACTGAAGAAGATCTAAAATTTTGGAACTCTTGTGTTATACACTTACATTTTTTGCACCCCCACCCCCATTTCCTTCTCCATTCCATATAATGCCTTGATTTCTAATTTATATTTTGAATCGCTTTTTAAAAATGAATTTAATCCATGCCCATTAATTGCCTTTGACCATTTTGTAATCAAAAGAAAAATTAGAAATGAAGACAAGAGAAGAAAATTGGGCAATAAAAGATGTAGGTGTATAACTCAAGAGTTCCAAAATTTTTCATTTAAAAATCGTTCTTAGCTAAGAAATGAAGTAAACAAATTATCACAATTACGCTTCATTTTAAATTTATTCCGTGCTCTTTACTAAGATGCCTTTTGAAAGTTACCGAAGTAAATCTTTTTGGAAAATCAAATACAGCGTTACAAGTTTTACATCGAGCATATCGGGCACCATCTTTATTGAAACGTGTAAAATAATTCCAGACGGGTGAAGTAACTGAGTGGTAAAATTATTACCAATTAAATATTTTGTGGGCATACATAGAATCGGAAAAATCTGAAGTGGTTTCTAAGCTTATGTCAACAATACAAGATTTTATGAGATTATAATCTTATCTGAATAGATATGAGTCCCGTTAATGTGGGCTTCGGAAAGTTGGGCTACATGATTTCTCAAAATATTGGGCTCCGGGTGAATTTTGGTCTATAACTGAAAAAAGGGAAGGTGGGCCCTAAAAACGTGAACGGAGTGCATTTATGGATTATACAAAAAATCCTTGTATATTAATTAACCCTATAATAATTTTGTCTAGCATAGTAAACCTAATGAAGTCGGCGAGAGTTTATGCAAACCCCACGCCTCGAGAGGGGTGCTCCGAGAGGGATCCCGTGCTTCAAGATGGATCACATTCTCGTTACATTCCAAGAGGGACCCCCCTTTAAGATAAAAAACCTACAAGGTTTTGTTGAGGCTTTTGCCGACTCTGAAGGTGGATTTTGATCATAAACTAAAATAAAGCGAAAATATTATTACATAAATGATTTATCGAGGAAAGTAAAGAAATGATCTAATAAAAGCTGTCTGTAGCTTACATTTTGGACCCCCATTTCATTCGGGACCCCCATGCTAAGAATAATATTTATAGAAATGATTAATGCCTTCGTGATTTGAAGATCTTGCATGTTCTTGTGTCGTGTTATTCAAGTTATAATCCGTTTTAGCTTTTTCCTTATTATTCAGTAAAAGATCATGTAAATACCGAGTATACTCATCGAATGAACTTGAAAATAAAAAATTAAAAAAAATTATAATTAGATTGTTCCAAATCCCAGACATATCTTTTTTGGTAGTTCGATACTCCGAAAATTATTTAAGACATGTCAATTCTCCTTTTGTCTTATTTCTGGTTGTTAGATATTTTTTAAAATATAAATTAAACCGTTCATCATCCCATTCCAATATTTGATCGTAAGTTTCGTCAGGTGTTTGGAAGTTATATAATCCTTGGGAATCATGATGCTAAAAAATTTGAATTTATTCTATTACTTTTATATTGTCCACCATAAATTTTCGAGTTTCTCGAATTATATAGTATTATGAGGGCTGATTTCTATTTGATAATATGTAATTAATAGAGGTAACAATTCATTCAAGCGATTTTCGTTTTTGATTTTAGTCAAATAAAAAAATTATTTTGCGAGGGGGGGGGGGGGGGGGGTTAAAAATCACTCATTTTCATTATTTCATGTTTTTGATTTTTAAATTTCATAAAAACGGTTAACTTTTTAAATAGTTATCAGAAGTATAAACACTAGTTTATACATATAACCCAAAAATAAATACAGATTGAGTATAATAAACCTGGGTTAATGTTGTAGTCTTGTTTAATTCTAAAAATTTAAATTATTACTTAAGTTAATAAAAAAAATTGAAGACTGGAGCATTAATATGGAAAATTAACAAGACACCGCACTCTTGCATAACCTTATTTTCTCTTCAAGCGCATTTTACTTTTTCTTAAACTCTATTTAAATACCTCATCCTGCCTTTAATCCATTTTAACCCTGAATAATATCGGCCATAGTAATATTTATAGCAATGTCTTTCTCTAATTAATAGAGAGACCTTCTCTCTCTCTCTAATCAATAGATCTTCTCTCTCCCTAATCTCTCTCTATTAATTACTTCGTTTAGTTAATACTTCCGATTGGGTCTGATGATACAAAGAATTTTATAGACGGGACATTTGGACAGGTCAAGATTCATGTCATTCAAGGACGATATCGTGTGCCCGAAATCCCGTCTCGGTCGGGTGACTTCAGCCCTTTTGAAATTTAGGTTCCATCCCAAGATTACTTTCTTAAGACATAAGTTTTACCATCATATTGACGCTTATTCTTTTTATTTTTTGGTGTTGCGCTAACATTATCAAGCTCAAAAGACAAAAAATATATTACTATGATACTTTTAAGAAGATTAAATCGAATTTTGAAAATAAAAGTCATTTCTTAAGATAATTACATAAAATAAAAGTATATAAGTTTAAATTTAAAAGACAGCAGTTTAAATTTAAAAATAAATTTCTGGATGATCCAAAATAAAATGTAAGGTTTAATTATGTACAAAAAGTTTAATTTGGAAGTACATACATAGGAAGAAATGTTTTCAAAATAATTTTCAACCAGATTCAACCAGAAATGGTGGGATACATGGGTATTAGAGTTCAGCGGTATCGGGATTTAGCCGGGTATACGTACAGAAGGGTATACATACATATTTAATTTTTTATTTTTACAATGATTTAATAAAATAAAAATTGAATTTAATTTTATTTAATAGTAAATAAGCAATGCCGCTTAGCTAGCGCGTCTTAGCGAGACAAACCTCTCGCGCGCGTACATCTCGCGCGCGTACAATTAATCGAGTGGCATTTAAAATTTTTGAGAATCGATAGGGCAAAACTTAAAAGTACAATTAGTATGTAAGTCAATAATAATAAAATTTAAAATTATAAAAAATAATTTTAATAATTAAATTAATAAAAGTTGAAACTTTATTAAAAATATATATTTGAGAGTGCCAAAATTAGGGCTCTGAAAAATTGGGCTAAAAGATTTTTTTGAAACTTTGAGTGCCGAATTCTATCTTTAGTTTTATCTATCTATCTACAGTATTAAATTTTTTTATTTTTATATTTAAATAAATATTTTAAAAAAATAAAAATTAAATTTTATTTTATTTAATATAAGTAAGGAAATGCCGCCTAAAGCAGTTTGATTAAAAGACAGCAAGCTAAAAAGTGGCACTTAGCGAGTGCTTAATGCCTCTCGCGCGCTTAAAATCAAGTGGAATTATAAATTCTTGATTATCGATCTGGTAAAACTTAAAAGAAAATATGAAGTCAATAATAATAATAAAATTTAACCTTATAAAAAATAATTTTAAAACTTAAATAAATATTTTAAAAAAAGCTGAAACTTTATTAGGAAATTGATATTTGAGAGTTTTAAAAAATTGTCCTCCCGCGTCTCGCGGGATCACGTTGCTGTTTTGTACGTAGAAAGAAAAACCTGTGCTTTTTTTAACATAAAATCCCACAAATCATTAAATATTAGTAGGATCCCACAAAAATTGCATTCCTAAACAACACGACGTTCAGGAATAGAAATAGTCTCTGTAACAACGATCACTGTAGATCATTTGATCACTTCCTCTATTGATAAAGTTTACCATCAATTTTTGACCCGATCTCGTTTAAATAATTTAAAAGAATTGAAATATAAAAACATAAATTAAAAAAGATCGTTTATCTAGAATTCTTTAAAATAATAAAGGGAAAAATCAACATGAATAGAAAGAGTTAAATATCGAAAAAATATTTTAGTTAACTAACGATATATGTATTTTACGGAAATACTTTTGACATCATAAATTGATAATTTTTACAGAAAACTTTTATTTTCAATAAAATGCAAGAACATATCTATCCCGTTAAATACAGTTTCATTTGGGTGTCGGACATATAGGATTGGTGTTGACCAGAGCTGTCCGCCCATATGGCATCGTGGTAAATTGGAGTCGGAAGAGGCCCAAAATATTGCCCAGACTTGGACTAACAACCTATTTTTCGATTGAAAGTCCATATAAATCCCCTTCCTACCTATAATTTAATAACGTTTACTGCAAAAATTATCAATATATCATCAATATCAATTTGATATAAATTAAAAAAATTTCTTTACAAATCTCTTATAGCTTAGTATGAAACTAATGTTTTCAAAGTAGCTATTCACGGTTGTGCTTGAGATATTCTTCAAAATCCTTTTTATGACCATCAAGATGTTTCTTGAAATATGACGAAGAATAATTCTTAGGAAATTCAAATTCACTGTTACAAATTCCACATTCAGCATATCGCTCTTCATTATCTTTATAAAAGATGGTAAAATATTGCCAGACTTCTGATTTAACTAAATAATAAAATTATTATTAAATAAAATTTTTAGAAGATTGAAAAAGACATAAGATAATTAAATATTTTCTAATTTTTACCCTGTTAAACCTTACAAAACCTTATGAAATTCTATAATTATTTGACATAAATAAACTTATCATAGTAAAATTTCGGATTTTTCCTCATTTTGTGGTTTTTAAATATGTAGAAAGGTCTTAAAGGTCTTTTGAAAATTATGAGGATTTCTTATATATATGTTTTCTTGTAGTCTGTTCGGATGTTTATATAATGATCATTAGTAATAAAGAATTGCACAATACAATTGTTATAGTCGAAAAATATAAGACAAAGTATTTTACTTCAATAACTGCGTTTGGTAATTCCTTCCGGATTTTTTGCCCAGAGATTTTTTAGGCCCAGTATTGCGAACTTTTAGAAATTCGAGAGCAAACCCAGGTATGAAGAGTCATGCCCCATTCTAAATCCAAAAACTCACACGGTTTAGCAATCTCTAAATTATTTTGAGCAAATCCTGGTGGCAAAAATTGTTGCAGTATTCATAATTTTGTGTTTGTTTGGGATGCGAATCTTTATAAAATACAATATTGCTTGAATCTATGAATAATTAAATGTTATAATTCATCGAGAACCGGGGAACGAAATAATGGAACTATGCTACTGCTGTTTGATATTCTAAAGCCTACTGGAGTTTACATAATAAATAATTCTAGAAACTCGCTTGTCGTGTAATTCAGGGTACAATATAAACTCAGGGTGTTTCGAAACAAAAAATCCATGAAAATAGGATTGAAATGAAATTTAGAAACAGCTCAGTTGTAAATTTGTCGTAGATTAGTGGTTAGGGTGGGAGTTACTGCATATTTCCCTTATCTCATCAATTTCTGTTCGGTATAAAAATTTAGATTCATTGAAAATTTCATTTAGAAAAGGAGGAATTAACATGATTACCCTTTATTTTATTCATAAATTTTATGTTAGTTTTAAGATGTTTCTTGAACGTTGACGAAGTTCTTTCCTTAGGAAATTTAAATTCCTTTTTACAAATTCCACATCGAACATATCGCTTTCCATTTTCCTTATTAAAGATGGTAAAGTTTTGCCAGACGTCTGATGTAACTAAATTATAAAATTATTACCGAATAGAATCTTTAGAGGATTATCAACAGGATAATAAATAATTTTTTTGAATTTTTAATCTGTTAAACCTTAAAAAATCTTATGAAATTCTATATTTATTTGGCATAACTAAACTTAACAGAATACAAGACTGACGCTTACACTGATTTAGTGACACAAATATACATAGGTTATTTGGCATTTAGATTTTAAAAGCTTACATCGAACGGAACCTGATCCTGAATTTTCATGATCAATTTCTTGTTGATTATTTACAAGATTATGTAATATTTCGGTGTTTTTTTGTTGTGCAAGTGGATTACTCATATCTTAGAATGATTAAAGTCAAATATTATAGAAATAGATAAGCAAAAGTTTAGTCACCGGGCAAGATTCCTGCGAGCTCCTCGTAGTTATTGCAAGGTGCTTTTTAGATCTTTTAACTCCCGCCTAAGCGGGAAATATTTTAATATTTTCAATATTACTTATGCTAACCACAAAAGATTTAATGATATTTTACAATTATTTAGATTAATTAATGCTTATAATTTTTAGATTCAAGCACACATTTAGATTCAAAAAACTCACCTTTTTTGTTTATTATCTGTATTGTTTCCGGTGGATTGTGAGAAGCTTGTTGGACTTCTTCGTGATTTTCTAGTTGTTCAAAATGAGGATTGCTCATGTCTTAGAAAAATATTATATTAACGAAAAACTGCCAAAGAAATTAAATATTGTGAAAAACATGTATATAAATGAATTAAAAGGAGTTTAGAAAAAATGTTATTACGCTCATGATGAAAATTAGGTAAAAGTTCATTTCCTTGATGCAAACCACTCCAATACTTTTGCATAATGTCATTGGTGTCAACTTAAAATTAATAATTAAATAGTATATTTTAAAATCAAGTCTACGAAAAACTGCCAAAAAATCATAGACTTGATTTTAAATACAAGTCTATGATTTTAAAATATGCCCGGGCCCGGCCAAGGGTTCGAGCTATAATCCTAATAAAAAATCTAAAAACAATCAATGCCTTCGTGTGTTGCAGAACTTCCAGATTCGTGCGTAGTTGGGATGCCCCATTCCGGTATATCATCAAAAATTTCACGATTTGTTGGCAGGTAAGATGATCCTTGCGGTTCATGAGTAATTCCTTGCTAAAAGATTTTAAAATTAGTTCTTGGGGTTAAATTTGTAAATAAGCTTGATATTAATTTTAAAAAACCTGAGAAGATGTTAAAGCCTCATCGTCTTCTGTAAATTAAAAATTCATTAATACATGTGTTCAATATTATAAGGGCCCCAATTATAATAAAATCATTTTCTCGATAAATTAACAAAAAATAGAAAATTCTTATTTTATTTTTGTGCCAATTTACTTCAAATAACTTTACATAAGTTATATTTACATTTGAAAATTTCTTGTTAATAATTTTACTCACCAATTTCTGGTGGATTATGTAAAAGGTATTGAAACATTTCATAATCATGTGTTTGTCCAAAATGTGGATTATGTTCATCGTCAATATTTCTTATATCTAGGATGACGGAAAAAACTTTTAGTTTTACATTAGAAATCTCTTAAAAATTATTTGGAAAATATTAATTAACACTATTGAATCTATCCAGCCGTTTTTTCCAATCCTAGGGTTTCTATTTCAAACTATATGACCCGAACTAAAAATTCAAAAAATTACTCAATTAATAATAGAAATGCAATTTCATATGTCAAAATTTTACCGTGTTCCTTTTGCTTATCCTTCTTATTTTGTCGCGTCCATAAAACGCGATTGCAAAAATAAAACTATTTTTATTTAAATTTAATTACTCATTGCTATAAACTTTTTCCCAGACCTTTTATCTACTTTAACAATCTAAAATTGTATTTTCTTTTCGCCTTTCTATTTAAATGATTTTCAATTTCCTACTAAAGACTGCTTCTTCTCACTTCTCTCCTTACTCACTCCTAGCTTTCCTATCAGCTTTTTCTCACTTTCATTGTTAAATAAAAAATGTTTTTCTTCCAATTTCGCTCGCTTTTTAACTAATTGTAAATTTAACTAAAAGGAAATAAATTATTTTTATTTGTGTGGAAAATTTTAGTAAGAGTATTTCCCCCCACATTAGCGGTTTTGAGCCAATCCGCTAAAGCTCAGCCGGTGATCGAAACCGGGACCTCTCGCGGCGCTCCGAGCGATATTTTGAACCACCCCCTAATAATAAAAAATTCAAAAATTTGTTAAAAGCTAACAGGCCTCAACACCCAGCATCAACCGACACAAACATGGAATGCAACCCTACTCCAACAATTGGAATTGCTACAACCGAATCCCCAGCAACACCATCAACAGAAACTACTGCAATCCGCCCACATGTTCAAGCACCGTCACGGGCGTCCTTCAAACCACCGTCACTGGCGTCCTTCAAACTCCCTTCACTGGCTTCCTTCAAACCACCTTCCCTGGCTTCCTTCAAACTCCCGTCACTGGCTTCCTTCAAACTCCCACAAAGCTACAACATCGCCGCCCGAGGGCGCATATTGGAAACTGGCACCATCGAATACGGCACCATCCACGAACAAACAATAAAGAAGAATTCAGTAAGAAAGGGGAAGAGGAAAAGAAATAAAAAGATTCACAAAAAACACACAATTTCGAAACCCACTCCCCTTAATAAAATTTATATTAACCCCGACTACATACAAACCTTACTAACTCCGCCACCACCTCCAAATGTCTCCCACAATCTAATTACTAATCGAGCCCCCTCAATTCGATCATTATGGGTACCAATCTTAACCCCCGCAACTCCACTCTTGCCTTTCCCATTTTTTAATGTCCAACCATTCGTTGGCCCGGGAGTGTCGCGTCCATAAAACGCGATTGCAAAAATAAAACTATTTTTATTTAAATTTAATTACTCATTGCTATAAACTTTTTCCCAGACCTTTTATCTACTTTAACAATCTAAAATTGTATTTTCTTTTCGCCTTTCTATTTAAATGATTTTCAATTTCCTACTAAAGACTGCTTCTTCTCACTTCTCTCCTTACTCACTCCTAGCTTTCCTATCAGCTTTTTCTCACTTTCATTGTTAAATAAAAAATGTTTTTCTTCCAATTTCGCTCGCTTTTTAACTAATTGTAAATTTAACTAAAAGGAAATAAATTATTTTTATTTGTGTGGAAAATTTTAGTAAGAGTATTTCCCCCCACATTAGCGGTTTTGAGCCAATCCGCTAAATTTCTTCTTGGTGCGCCGTAGATTATATCAAACTCAAAACTCAAAAAATATGTCACAATGAGGACTTTCAGATGAATTTTGAAAATAAAAAGCATTTGCTAAAAATTATATAACACGTGTTAAAACTTAAAGCATATCGCTATTTAATTCTTGAGGCTGTGCGGTATGCGGGATTATGTAATGGATAACAAATAATCCGGTCTATTGAAGATGATGTTCGCTCCCATAAACTTTTGAACTAACTAAAGCGGAGGAATTACTATAGCCCAAAGGAGAGGAATAGCTAAAGGAGAGGAATTACTATATCTGCTTTACTATATGTAGCATATTATGAATATTATTAACTCTTTACAAACTTTAATTAATGTGTATTAGATTTTTATTAGACATTTAAAATTTTTAGAAATTAAATTGTAGCATATTATGAATATTATTAACTCTTTACAAACTCTAATTAATGTGTATTAGATTTTTATTTGACATTTAAAATTTTTAGAAATTAAATTTAACTTTATTTAAGTCAGTAGTAAAGGAATAAAATGGTAAGAGGCAAGCTTTATGTTTAGGGAGAAACTCTTATGCGCGCGCCTTGGCAAAATTTTAAAATTTTTAATAATTGATAGCCAAAATTAAAAATAAATTATGAAATAGCTATAGTCTAGTAAGCTATAGCCCAGCTAGCTAAAGCTTAGCTAGCTATAGCCCAGCTAGCTAGCTAGTAGTAAAGGAATAAAATGGTAAGAGGCAAGCTAGCTAGCTATAGCCCAGCTAGCTAGCTATAGCCCAGCTATCTAGCTATAGCCCAGCTCTTATGTTTTACGAGTAACGCGTCCAGCTTGCCAATAATTTAAAATTTTTAATAATTGATTAGCCAAAATTAAATAGAGAATTATAAAGAGAAGATAAATAAAAAATTAAATAAAAAGTAAAAGTTTAAATTTGTAAGAGTTTAAAACTTATTGCCAAAAACAAGACAATACGAAAGTTATACCGTTAATAATCAGTTTTCGATGAAGTATTGGCCGTTGTTTACCAAGGGCCTATATCAATTGCCCGCAGATTCTGAAGTTTGTACAGACAGCAGAGCAACAGAATTTTTATAGCAATTGTTCCGCTGATTCTGCTTACACAGAATCAGCGATAGATACACAGAATCAGCGGTAGTATAATATAATAAATAAACAAACATCCTTAAACCCCAATAAATGTTTTATTTTTACAAAAAGATTCAATAGAAACTATTGATGTTTCAAAATAAAAGGTACAATATAGACAAAAATAACTTTTACATAAGAATAATAAATCTCTGGAATAAACTACCTAAAGAAATTCTTGGCATTAAAACACTAATAACATTTAAAAAATATTTAAAAAGACTTTTCCTAAATTGTCGCCTTAGTAGTTTTATTAACCCATTAAAATCTAAATTTAAAAAATTTTATAAAAAAATTTTTTTTCTTTTTAATAAAATCTTTAAGATATAAATTTTTCTTAAAATTTTCATAATATACTTTCATAAATATAGCTCTTTAAAAATATTTAAATTAAATCCTGTAAAATTTAAATTTTAAATTATTTTTAAAATCTTATTTTATTATTTTAAAATAAAAACATTTAAATCTTACTTATTACCTACTTATAGACAGTTTAATTTTTTATGTATATTATTTACATTTTTATGTATTGTTCAGCTGGATTTTTTTAAATTTTGTTTTATTTTTCAAAACTATAGTGTATGTATTCGTTTGATGTTGAAGGATTAGGGTCGGATTTCGTTTGATTTTAAAGGATAAAACTCAAAAAATATATCAATTTGATATTGTAAAAAATATAAGATATTTTAGAAGAATAATTGAAGAATAAAGTCCGTTGATAAAATAACTGAATAATGATTATAAATATTATTATACCTTCTAATGACAAAATAAATTTAAAAGATTTATCTTAATGTTTAACAAAATGAAGAAGAAAAAAGTTGAAAACAAAAATCTAAAAATGCAATCATATTTAGGATACTTTAAAATATAAATGGAAAAATCACCAGTAATGGACAGAGCTAAAATAAGGACAAAATATTTGATACATGACGATATAATTGATGAATTTATTTTCTGATCGTTATCACATATTTAAAAAATCATGGTAAATTGGAGTCTAAAAAGGCCCAAAAATATTGCCTAGAATTGGACTAACAACCTATTTTTCGATTGATGTCCATATAAATCCCCTTCCTACTTATAATTTAATAACGTTTAATGCAAAAATTCCCAATATATCGTCAAAATCAATTTAATATAAATTTTTAGAAATTTCTTGCTAAATCTCTTAAAGCTTAGGATGGAACAGGGCTGGAGTATTTTGAATTTTAAAAAGCAGAAGGCAAAAGCGGCAGAATGCGGAATAAAAAAGCAGCAGACGGAATGCGGAAGCGAAAGTGAGCAAAAAAGACGGAATTCGGCGGAAGACGGAAGCGGAAGAAACAAAAATTTTTTATTCAAAAGACTACATGTCATATAAATGACTTAACAAGATGTTAAATAAAAAAGTGTTATTACGTTCATGATGAAAATTAGGTAAAAATTCATTTCCGTGGTGCCCACAGAAATTTTTTGGTATTTATTTCCATCTATTCCTCTAAAAATTTAATTTTTGTTAAGTGTAGATTAACTTAAGCACCGAAGAAAATTGAAAAAGTTTCGGAAACTGGCGTATATTTAAAAAGTACTGGGGGTTATTTTTAAAACTATAGCTTATTGGACAGAGCATTGTTAACCAAAGCATTTTCTATCCATATGGCATCTTGTTATAATGGACGTCGGAAAGGTCCAAAAATATTGCTCACTTATTCAAAAGTAAATCAAAATTCCTATAAGAAGTTTCCCTAGATCTCGACTGTGTAGTTAAATGTAAAATATGTATTAACTAGGGTTTGATACAAACGGTTAACCGGGCTGAAACCGAAAACCGGTGTTTTTACAAATAAACCGAAAGTCAAAAACCGGCGATTCAAGAATAATGGCCGATATTAAGGGAGAAAACCAGCGGAAGAGGCCAAAAATGCAAAAAAGGAATGCGCAAGCGGAGGGGTTGAAAAAGATTTTTCTGCGAAAGGCAGAACGCGGAAGCGGATCCAGCCTTGTATGGAACTAATATTTTTAAAGTAGCTATTCACGGTTGTGCTCCATTTTCTTCAGATATTCTTCATAATCCTTTTTGTGACCATCAAGATGATTCTTGAAATGTGACGAAGATCTTTCCTTAGGAAATTTAAATTCACAGCTACAAATTCCACAACGAACATATCGCCCTCCATTTTCCTTATTAAAGATGATAAAATATCGCCAGACTTCTGATTTAACTAAATAATAAAATTATTACCAAATAAAATTTATAAAAGATTGGAAATAGAAATTATATATCGGACAAAAAACGCCTGTCCTGGGTAACAAAAACCCAGGAAATGTCCATTGGTCATTTAAAGAACAGCAGAGTAACAAATTTATTACACTTCTACCTCTGCTGTTCTTTAAATGACCAATGGACCATTTCCTTGGTTTTTGTTAGACACAATGCGAGAGAGCGTATGCTTCGGCACATTTGCATAAGAAAGAACCCAGGACAGGCGTTCTTTGTCCGATCTCTAATAGAAAATATTTATTTTGTTTCGAATGTTTATTTTGTTAACCTTACAAAGTCTTATGAAGTTTTAAACTTATTTGGGTAATAGTGTTTCGTACCCTCCCCCCTATTTTTCTTCTCAAGTTATTAAAAATGGTCAGTTTTTCAGAAGAATAGTACTCATCGAGCTGCATCGAAGCTGCATCGAAAGATTCGATGCAGCCTGATGAGAGAAAGAGTTTGCAAAAGTTTAGCCACCGGGCAGGATTCGAACTTGCGACCACCTGCTAGTTGTTGCTAGGCGCCTTCGCACACTATATGCAGGAGCTCTACCTCTGAGCTACCATGGCATCAACTTATTTGGGTAATAGTGATTCGTACCCTCCCCCCTCTTTTTCTTCTCAAGTTATTATCTTTTCTTTTTTAGATCGTTTAACCTCCGCCTAAGCGTTTTAAATGCTGTTGGCCCCGTTGTAAAGTAGCATGACCCATTTTAGACAAGATAACTAACATGGGCATGTTGAACTGATTTCTAAATAATTCGGAACAAATCCTGGTTGCAAAAATTGTTGAAGTATTTCATATTTTTGTGTTTGTTCGGAATTTGGATCATTGCTTGAAACTATGAATAATTAAATATTAATAATAAGAAAATAATAAGAAAGAATCAATGCCTTCGTGTGTTGCAGAACTTCCAGATTCGTGTGTAGTTGAGATGCCCCATTCCGAAATATCTAGACAAATTTCCTGATTTGTTGGCGAGTAAGATGTTCCTTGCGGTTCATGAGTAATTCCTTGCTGAACGTTTTATTATTAGTACTTGGGTTTATATGTAGTTAAATAAGCTTGATGTTTATTTTAAAAAACCTGAGACGATGTTAAAGCATCATCGTCTTCTGTAAATTATAAATTCATTAATACATGTGTTCAATATTATAAGGGCCCCAATTATAATCAAATCATTTTCTCGATAAATTAACAAAAAATAGAAAATCCTTATTTTATTTTTGTGCCAATTTACTTCAATAACTTTACATAAGCTATATTTACATTTAAAAATTTCTTGTTAATAATTTTACTCACCAATTTCTGGTGGATTATGTAAAAGGTATTGAAACATTTCATAATCATGTGTTTGTCCAAAATGTGGATTATGTTCATCGTCAATATTTCTTATATCTAGGATGACGGAAAAAACTTTTAGTTTTACATTAGAAATCTCTTAAAAATTATTTGGAAAATATTAATTAACACTATTGAATCTATCCAGCCGTTTTTTCCAATCCTAGGGTTTCTATTTCAAACTATATGACCCGAACTATTTAAAAAATTACGCAATTAATAATAGAAATACAATTTCATATGTCAAAATTTTACCGTGTTGCTTTTGTTTATCCTTCTTATTTCTTCTTGGTGCGCCGTAGATTATATCAATCTCAAAACTCAAAAAATATGTCACAATGAGGACTTTCAGATGAATTTGGAAAATAAAAAGCATTTGCTAAAATTTTATAAAATACACTGCAGTGAAAAGTTCACTTGCTAAAATTATTTCAATAATGTATTTCTTACAGTCTATATGTTTCAAGTTATATTTCGGGATGAATAATCAAAGGCGTCCAATCCACAAATACGTCTAATGGGGTACACCCCGATGTACCGCGAGCCCAATGTACCGCCGAGCTATAACTTTGTTCAAAATTGTCAAACCCGTGGCGCCCAGCTGAAGACCAACCAGTCGCCACGCATTCGAAAATTTTGAACATTTATAGCTCGGCGGTACATTGGGCTCGCGGCACACTGGCCTGCTCCCCGTCCAATGACGTTTAAGTGTTTAGGTTTATACGATCACATATTTATGCGTCCAATTAAAAAATTTTCAACAAAAAAATTTTCAAAAATTTTTCGAAAAAAATTTTTCAAAAAAGTTTTTTGTAAAAAATTTTGACCAAAAATTTCATAAATTTGAAAATTTTAACCAATTTTTGGCAAAATTTTACAAAAAATGACGAAATATGGATAAAATATGGAAAGAATGGACGGAACGCCTAAATATGAAAAAATATGGATTGATAACTCAAAAACGGCCTTATCACCATATGCTAAAAACATGTTATTTGGACGTTTCAGAACCCAACGAGTTCAGGAAAAAATATGGAAATCCATATAAATCCCATCCCTACTTATAAAATTAATTTATAAATTAATAAAAATTAATTAACAAAAATGCCTTACTCCTAAAATGTAAATGAAGGTAGGCATTAGGCATATATGCTTCACTATTTAGCCTTAAAATCCCAAATCAATAAAATGTCTACCTAAAATTTTAAAATTTATTTTTCTCTAAACATGCCAATTTGTTAAACATCATATGATTTTTAAAGCATTCATTTAAGGTTTTTTGAGGTTAGAGAAATAGAAAAATCGGTTAGACAAATAAAAATTAATAGTGTAAAGCATTGCGTAATTTTTTAAATTATTTTTAAAGGTAGTATGTCCATTCATTGACACTCTCGTCGATAAATCGCACTCTCTCTCTCGTCTATAATTGCACTCTTGACTCTCTAATCAATAAATTGTCTAAAAAATTTAAATAAATGTTTTATGTATTATAGATTTTGTTTAAAGGGAAGTTAGTGTTTCACGAGCAATAATAAAAAAACAATTAAAATTTTCAAGAAAACCGAGCCCTATTCCTTTTATGTCCGACATCTGTGTTATGTAAGAACAAAAAAGAGATTTAAAAACATAAGCTCATCGAAAAAGCTATCTGAAACATTATTATCTAACTACTTATTGATGAAAACACGGTAATTAATAGAGCTTTACATTTATATAATCAAAGCTTTACATTTATATGACTTTTTGTAAAAATAATTGAAGTTAGAGAAATAGAATGACAAAATTTCATAAGCTAATTTTGCTCATATAACACACAGGTCATAATACCGTTTTGACCGATTAATTAAAAAATTTCGAAAAAAAATTTATTATATGAAGTTTTCTTGAATATTTTATAAAAGTTATCTTGACCTGTATCTTGACCATAGGGGCGAAAAACCATGAGACAAATATTCATACAAATGCCTCATTCAAAAGAGCTCGTCTAGCATGTCGAATGACATCAAATCAACGCGATTGGACAAGATTTGTCAAAGTTATGACATAAGTTGTCGACTCCGTTAGGTGTACTTCATGTCATAACTTTGTCATTCGACTCAGCTCAACGAGTTCTATAACTTAAGACTGACTGACCATTTGTTAATACACTGAAGAAGAAAAAAGGGGGGGGAACGAAATTAAATTTTATTCGGAACTTTTTTCTTTTTAACATTACACGAACTCTTCCCTCACTTTTCTATCAGAAGAATAATAAAATAAAAACTTAGAAAATTGATTAAAAGAAAAAGTCTAAAAAACGAAAAAAATTAAAAAGTTTCAATTTTAAAAAAAAATTCACATTCCTTCTTTACTTCTCTAAATATTTATACATTTTTTTGGGATATTTTGTCATTTTTAATTAAAAACTAAACACAACGCCAAACAAAGCAAACTTCAAAGCTGCGGACACTCAAACAAACAAACAGGAATTCTCAAATTTAATATAGGATCCTTCGTTTAAAATATTTAAATAATGCTTTTAAATCATATGATCTCGTTTAATTCATCAGCGAAAGCAAAAAACATTTCGCAAAAAGGCAAAACAACGAGTCCTTTCTTTTCCATTAAGATAAAGAATAATCTTACTATCTCTGGCGAATGCCAATGAGGAAGTAAATAACAAATTATCCTAAGTAAAAGTAAAGAAGCAAGGAACAAATGGAAAATTGTTCAACCGCGTCGATCGGGATAACGTTGCTGATTTTTGTATGCGCGAGATAAACCTATAGTTTTTTTTGCACATAAATCCCTCAAATCAATTGGTATTATGAGGATCCCACAAAATTGCAATCCTAAACAATACGTAGTTAGGGAATATAGAAACAACTCTAAGACAACTATCACTGTTGATAATTTGATCACTTCATTTATTGATAACTTTCACCATAAAATTTTTGATCCTATCTCAATTGAATAATTTAAGTTTAGAAATATGAAATCATAAATCAAAAAATGATCGTTTATCTAGAATTCTTTAAAATAATAAAGGGAAAAATCAAAATGAATAGAAAGAGTTAAATCAAAAAATATTTTAGTTAACTAACGATATATTTTACGAAAATACTTTTAACCTCTTAATTTGACTATTTTTACAGTGAACTTTTATTTTCAACAACAATGCAAGAATATCGCTATTCGTTAAATAACAGCCCATATGACATCTCGGTAAATTAGTGTCGAAAAAGCCAAAAATATTGCCTATACTTGGACTATCCACCTATTTTTCGATTGAAAGTCATATAAATCCCCTTCCTACCTATAATTTAATAACGTTTACTGCAAAAATTATCAATATATCATCAATATCAATTTGATATAAATTTTTAAAAATTTCTTTACAAATCTCTTATAGCTTAGTATGATACTAATATTTTCAAAGTAACTATTCACGATTGTGCTTCAGATATTCTTCATATTCCTTTTTGTGACCATCAAGATGATTCTTGAAATGTGACGAAGATCTTTCCTTAGGAAATTTAAATTCACGGCTACAAATTCCACATCGAACATATCGCTTTCCATTATCTTTATTAAAAATCTCAAAATATTCCCAGACTTCTGATTTAACTAAATAATAAAATTATGCATTACAAAACAAAATTTTTAGAAGATTGGAAAAGATTTATGATAAGTAAATTTTTACTGATTTTTACTCTATTAAACCTTACAAAACTTAGGACATTCTTTACTTCCTCATTTTGTGGTTTTTAAATATGTAGAAAGGTGTGGATTATTTTAAAAATGTACATTTGCGGATTTTTTGGTCTTTTGAAGATTATGAGGAAGAGCATGAGGACTTGTATTCTTTAGAATTTGACGTAAATTCTATTCGGATGTTTATAAAATGATCATTAGTAAAAAAATTGCTCAATTAAATTGTCTTGTATTTTACTTCAATATTTGTGTTTGGTAATTCCTTGTGAATTTTTTGCGAAAAATGAGAATTTTTTCCCAGAATTGCGAACTTTTAAAATTCAGAGCAAACCCAGTTATAAAGAGTCATGCCCGATTTTAGATCCAAAAACTCACATTT